AAATTGACTTCCAATTAAAGTAAACCCGTGTGGAGGTTAAACGTGCAGCCAATGAAGGGGTGGGGTAAGAGGGGATGCTGGTCTCAGCGCTTAAACAGTTTTGAATCGTTTAATCCCGCACTGGGCAGAGTAGATGCCTGTTACACGAAACCTTGCTCCCCCCTCCCACGATAATGCAGATAAATGCTAGTTAAGACCCCACCCCCTCCCCCAAATCCATCCCCATGCCGCGCCGGTTAGGTCATTTAAAAAGCAGGTGGAGATGCATTGTTCCCGGGGGTGCCAGAGAGGGGGAAGGGTGGCTGATGAAACCCTTTTAAATTCAAATGCAGTAACCTAACCCCATCGCCATTCTCCCCCTCGCTTTGCTTATAAATTACGTTCCACGTCTACGCCGACAAAAGGGAAGACAACCCCGGCCACCACGGCGTCGCCGATTCAAACTGCACGCTATGGGTTGTGACGAATCCAACCATGTGGCAGAGAGCCATTTGGTGTAGCGTTAGTGCGGTACAAACAACTAGCAAACCCCATTAGTTCTACCTGACGAGGTGTAATACACCGCTGACGGGGGGTACACCCTGACCTGGACGGTTGACGGCCTCGATATTTCACCTGGGGTCAATCTAACCCCGGCACGTGTCGGAGACACTGAATCATTCCAGGTGAGCAGCCGTCATTGTGATGGCAGCATGGCTGGGAACCTGTCAGAGCTGGGAGACACGGCTACATCCGGCTACAGCTGGGAAACACGGCTTCATCCGGCTACAGCTGGGAAACACGGCTTCATCCGGCTACAGCTGGGAAACACGGCTTCATCCGGCTACAGCTGGGAAACACGGCTTCATCCGGCTACAGCTGGGAAACACAGCTTCACTCGGCTACAGCTGGGAAACACAGCTTCACTCGGTTATAGCTGGGAAACACAGCTTCACTCGACTACAGCTTCAATCCCAACTACTTATCACAGTTGGTAATTTCCGATTCAAAAGCTAAGGCTGTAGCAATACACCTCTACAGCTACAACCATACACCTCTACAGCTACATCCATACACCTCTACAGCTACAACCATACACCTCTACAGCTATAACCATACACCTCTACAGCTATAACCATACACCTCTAAAGCTACAACCATACACCTCTACAGCTACAACCATACACCTCTACAGCTACATCCATACACCTCTACAGAGTCTACAGCTATAACCATACACCTCTACAGCTACAACCATACACCTCTAAAGCTACAACCATACACCTCTACAGCTACAACCATACACCTCAACAGCTATAACCATACACCTCTACAGCTATAACCATACACCTCTACAGCTACAACCATACACCTCTACAGCTACAACCATACACCTCTACAGCTACAACCATACACCTCAACAACTACAGCCATACACCTCTACAGCTATAATGATACACCTCTACAGCTACAACCATACACCTCAACAGCTAGTCATACACCTCTACAGCTACAGCCATACACAACTACAGCTACAGCCATACACCTCTACAGCTATAATGATACACCTCTACAGCTACAACCATACACCTCAACAGTTAGTCATACACCTCTACAGCTATAACCATACACCTCTACAGCTACAGCTATACACCTCAATAATTAAGGCTGTATCCATACAACTCTACAGCGACAGCTCTACAGCTAAGGCCGTGTATACAACCACCTCTACAACTCTAGAAATTCACCTCTACGCTGAAGACATACACCCCTCTACCTCAGCCAGACATCATTTGATCATCTAAACAACAAACATAAACCAGATCGTTTAACAGTGTTGCCATGACAACATAACTCTAGTATTACATTAATCTATACAACAACATCAATGCGACAAATGTACTAGACGTGCAACATCAGACAAGAGATAAGTTTTTTAATTTCACAGGAAGACGGGCTCAACTTCCGCTGAATTCAGACTAACTAGGGCGGCTAGGAAGGACATACTTCATTACCACTATAGGCCAAGTTGAAATTGTTGGCTAGGAATGACATTGAAGTTCTTTATTTTCAAACAGGCCTAGTGATAGGGTATGACATATAATTATGTACGTAGTGAGGCAAACTATCAAGTATATAGTCATGGTGTAACACAATATCACGTACGTGGCCAGGGTGTGACACAATATCACGTACGTGGCCATGGTGTGACACAATATAACATACGTGGCCAGGGTGTGACACAATATATCACGTAAGTGGCCATGGTGTGACACAATATAACATACGTGGCCATGGTGTGACACAATATTACGTAAGTGGCCAGGGTGTGACACACTATCACGTACGTGGCCATGGTCTGACACAATATCACGTACGTGGCCAGGGTGTGACACAATATATCACGTAAGTAGCCATGGTGTGACACAAGATCACGTACGTGGCCGGGGTGTGACATAATATCACATACGTGGCCATGGTGTGACACAATTAACATACGTGGCCAGGGTGTGACACAATATATCACGTAAGTGGCCATGGTGTGACACAATATAACATACGTGGCCATGGTGTGACACAATATTACGTAAGTGGCCAGGGTGTGACACACTATCACGTACGTGGCCATGGTGTGACACAATATCTCGTAAGTGGCCAGGGTGTGACACACTATCACGTACGTGGCCATGGTGTGACACAATATCACGTACGTGGCCAGGGTGTGACACACTATCACGTACGTGGCCATGGTGTGACACAATATCACGTACGTTGCCAGGGTGTGACACAATATCACGTACGTGGCCATGGTGTGACACAATATCACGTACGTGGCCATGGTGTGACACAATATCACGTACGTGGCCAGGGTGTGACACAATATCACGTACGTGGCCAGGGTGTGACACAATATCACGTACGTGGCCAGGGTGTGACACAATATCACGTACGTGGCCAGGGTGTGACACAATATCACGTACGTGGCCAGGGTGTGACACAATATCACGTACGTGGCCAGGGTGTGACACAATATCACGTACGTGGCCAGGGTGTGACACAATATCACGTACGTGGCCAGGGTGTGACACAATATCACGTACGTGGCCAGGGTGTGACACAATATCACGTACGTGGCCAGGGTGTGACACAATATCACGTACGTGGCCAGGGTGTGACACAATATCACGTACGTGGCCAGGGTGTGACACAGTATAACATACGGGCCCAGGTTGTGACTATCACGTACATGCCCAGGTTGTGACTATCACGTACATGCCCAGGTTGTGACTATCACGTACATGCCCAGGTTGTGACTATCACGTACATGCCCAGGTTGTGACTATCACGTACATGCCCAGGTTGTGACTATCACGTACATGCCCAGGTTGTGACTATCACGTACATGCCCAGGTTGTGACTATCACGTACATGCCCAGGTTGTGACTATCACGTACATGCCCAGGTTGTGACTATCACGTACATGCCCAGGTTGTGACTATCACGTACATGCCCAGGTTGTGACTATCACGTACATGCCCAGGTTGTGACTATCACGTACATGCCCAGGTTGTGACTATCACGTACATGCCCAGGTTGTGACTATCACGTACATGCCCAGGTTGTGACTATCACGTACATGCCCAGGTTGTGACTATCACGTACATGCCCAGGTTGTGACTATCACGTACATGCCCAGGTTGTGACTATCACGTACATGCCCAGGTTGTGACTATCACGTACATGCCCAGGGTGTGCCACACTATCGGGTCTATGACCACGATGTAAAGCTCACTTACTCACGCTGAACCCATCACAAAACACTTAACACGAAGGTTTAACTTTTTTTTTACATATTTAACCAGGAAGCAGACTGTAACAGACTCCATGCATAATTCAGTGGCGTATCCCGGGCGGACGGAAGGTTTTAATTAGTGTTTTTCTTCCCTTTAAATGTACATAATTGGGGCGGAAAATCGAACAGATGTAAATCGGGGGTGGCAAAATTAAGAGCTCGCCCTGTGGGGACCGAGGGTACAATACGCCGATGGCATACAATTTTTCAGTTAAGTTAAGGCGCCTAAGTTAGAGGAAAGTTAAGCCATGGAATCTGTTCTGACTAGGGTCAACGACCCAGTCATGCAATGTTTAGGAGTGAATGTATCATATAGTAAAAGTACGAACTTTTTCTGACTTCTATCAGAAATAAATTATAAGTAAACTTTAAAAACCTTAACTTCTAAATAAAACAACAGTTAAAATCGATTTTCGTCTATGATTTTAAATTGTGATCTTCTTCTTCTTCGTTCTTAATTTTTAGTGTTGGAAGGGAGCGAGCCATATCTGCCAGAGGGTTTGAACTCGAGACTTTTTTCGAATTTATCAACCATGAGCTTTTGGCGACTCGACCACGCCTCCATCACAATTAAGGATACGTGTCAACTGGTTATGCGCCATTGAGGTCATTGACTCCGATGCTTTCCTTTTTGGATTTGCTTTCATAGCCTTTGTCCAACCAAGAACAAACTACAAGGCAGCAGTTGTTTGATTTTGGAGTTGTCTCTCCTAGAACTTATTGAACTCGAGACTTTTCGGTTTAGCAACCATGAGCTTTACCGACTCGATCACGCCGACCCCCATTGTGATGATTTTTTTAAAGCAGGTTAAATGAAACTATGGTGAAAGTCATCAAGTTTTTTTTTTCCAATAAATAAAAAACGACTACAACATGTTCAAAATCGTCTGTTGCATCGGCCCCTCCCCTTACATCCCAGAACACGCCCCCCCCCCACCCACCACCATCAACCTCTTAAATCCTTCAGCACGCCCGTAGAGTCGGCCCCTTCCTTTCCCACATACCCAACACCACACCCCACCTATCTTACATCAAGCTCTAAAATCCTACAACACGCCCTTCTCCCTCACTTACACCTACACACACCCCAACACCACGCCCACCTTGCATCAGCCCCTACATCCACAACACACCCCCTCCAACGACATGCAACACCACTTGCCCTTACCTTGCATTGAAATGACCACATTGCTCCTGTTCTTATCATCCACCGACCAGGCGGTAAAACAGTAGTCGTCACACATCACCGTGACCGTCGTGTTGGACCCGTTCGCCGTGTACTGGGCGCACTCGTTGGGCTCTACCGTGTTGGTGGAGAGTGGTGAAGCCTTGAGGTTTGAACCTGCCGCGATGGTGGTGGCCGTGAACAATGAGCTGCTGGGAGTGCCCACAAGGGGCTCTTTGGCGACACTCTCATGAGCGGTAACTGAAGGGATAGGCATTGCTTTTAATCACACATTTACATACGACGTACATTCAACAGCAAAAAAAAAAGTTAAATACCTAACAGCCAGATTAGTGGTTGGTGACATTTAGTAAAGCACGGAGAGGCCTATTTATCATGAGAGTTGATTTTTAATGTAAAAAATTAAAAGACACAACATGTGTTGACATGTGTCATACAATCAGGGGTCACCTTATATATTATACAACTTTGGGGGGGGGGGGGGATCAAAATGTAAGTCATATAACTTGAGGGTAAACCTGTATGTCTTTTAATTTATCTGGGGGTCAACCTGCATGTTATTCAACTTTGGGGGGGGGGGGGGGGGGTAACATGCATGTTAAACCATCCAAGTGGGTCAACTTGCATTGTCGTCCTAATTGGGGGTCAAATCTGGATGTCATCCCATCTGGGGATCACCTGCATGTTATCCAACTTGGGAGCCAACACAGGTAAGTCATATACAACTTTGGGGTTTAACCTGAGTTGTATGTCATACATCCTGCATGTCATGTAGCTGAAAGGGAAGGGGGGGGGGGGTCAAACTACATGTTATTTAACTTGTGATTTGTTAATTAGGATAATGACCTTGGTCTATGTGTTAAAGTTGAAATATTACACTTCCTTTTACAGTGCAGGAAGAACATAAATGAACTAGTTATTTATGTTCCTAATACCATTGAAATCTTATTTTAACTTTTGTGTCACAACTTCATTTTCTGTTTCACTATAGCAGTATGGGGAGGAGGAATCACTACAGTTGTATGCAACAATATTACTTTATTCTGGTCCTCAATTATCAGCAATAATAGTATCTGGGTGGATTTATGTGCTGATGTTATGGCTCATATTTGGGTGGGTTTATGTGCTGATGTTAAGGCCAGACAACATACCAAAATACCATAACCTTAAACCAGAAATGCTGCAAAAGTGTTTTTTAAATTAAGTGTCTGATAATAAATTTTTTATTTCTCAGGTTTTGATACAAAGGGACTGTACTACAAATTGCATTGTTAAGGTTAGGTAAAAATCTTGAAGTACACTAAAAAAATATTTTACATGTACATGTTACCCACTCTTACAAGTAACAAGGGTCTGTAAATTGTATAAAAAACAACTGTGGCTTAAAGATAACTAAGTAGACTTTCAGCAATGTAATGTGATGTCATGGTCCAATGAAGAAAGTCTTGAGTTTGTTCCACAGGGTAAATGTCTCTTAGCTCATCCAGATCTGATGGCTAACTTTACTAGAGTAAAGGCAGCTTGGCATAGAGCAGACACCACAATTCCAGTTTTTTATTTTAAAACAACAGATTAACTCTACTTTATTTTCCTTAATCTCATTTGAGAGGCAATTTACATTACATTACTTTCTGTATTTTACACTAATGGTTTTCATTTATTTATATTAGTCATTATATTCTTATGGAATACTTTTCAAACTGATAAGACAGGAGGTAGTCATTAATTTTGGCATTTTTTAGGTAAATGAGAAACAACAGAAATGACTTTAATTGATCCTTTGAATTAATGATGTTGGTAGGAATACCTTTATTTCGAACCTAAACAACTTAGACGAATTGACAATAGATTGATGACGATGGTAAGGGACACCTTTAAACCAAACCCTAGTCTATGAGATGGATTACTGTTTCCAGACTCAAAGGCTTAATCTTTTTGTGATTAAAAATAATTATGTAGCAATTAAAATGAATTGGTGCTTGTCCATGCACAACTGTGATAATTGAATCGTTACTAATGCAGCGAGATAATCAATGAAAAGTGATTAGTGTTAAATTAGACACTCAACAATTCAATTTAATTAATTTGGGGATGATGGGGAAAGGTGTGCAATGAAAAGTATCAAATAATTACTAATTTTCTGTGAATGTTAGTTCGGCAATGTTATTTGTCAAGGATCTATATATATAATTCTCCTCTTCGAGCCGTTAGAAAACAAGCTGCAAACGCTCTCCCTACCTCCCCACCCCTACATGGTTTTAGTGAGCTGTGTTCACTCTAAATGTTTACAAGCAGAGCCAACGATTTTAAACGTAGGGGGGGGGGGGGGGGGGAGGAAGGGGGGGGAGGAAGGGGGGGGAGGAAGGGGGGGGGGGGGAAGGAAGGGGGGGGGGGAGGGGGTGGGTTATGGTCCTTAACGAGCTACTTATAGTGTTTTAAAGAAATATTTTCAGTGTCAGCGTTGGTACTGTCGAATTCACAAATTATGAATTATTGAAAATTAGAAACAACTAAATAGCGGCGTATGTTATGCCGCGGGCCGGCTCGTATTTTTATAAGTTTGTTGTGTTTGGGATGAATCTGAATTTTGGCTCTCTCATGCAGCAGTTTAGTCCAAACTTTCCAAATATTTTTACATGAGAGACAACCTCAACCAACATGCCGCAGATAATTGTCTTTTACACTGCGTCTACTATTGCGACATGTTACTCGGAACAAGTAAATGTAACATGAAAACATTTTCCCCACGGAACATGTATACTTATTGCTGTGAGCTGGTTTTTTTCTAGACATTATAGTGTACATGATGCAAGTGTAAGTGCGGTGATAGAGATCGCAACCTACTGATAAGGTTTAACGGTAATATTATTACTATTAGTTGTATGTATTGTTGACTTTATTAAGTACAAACAGAATACAAAACAATAAAGTAAGCCTACTAATTGTCTTGAAAAGTTAAATATTGACTTACAACTTTAATATCTAAAATGCATAATAATTACAATAACTTGGAAAATAAAACATTTTTTTTTAACTTGATAATACATACTAACTTATAATTTTATAAATGTTTTTAAAAAATTGTTTTATTTTCCAAGTTATTGTAATTATTATGCATTTTAGATATTAAAGCTGTAGGTCAATATTAGCTTTTGAATGCATTAAAAAAAAAAATTGAAATTTAAAAAATGGCTTTCCTTAATACATTTTAAAAATGTGTGATGGCAAAAAACCAAGTCACCAAGAAGGTACTGATAAAAATTAATATAATACTCTATACTCTATACTACTCTATAGTCTATAGATCTAACACTATCCTTTTATCAACTAATACTAAACTAATGCATAAAAAATGAATAAAAGTATAAAACTAACTGAAACTAACCTAAATTTTTGTTATGTAGACAATGTTATTTCAATTTTTATTAGCATAACATAGAACAATTTTATTTTCCTTATTAGTCCACAGTATACAAATGTTAAAATGTTAAAGTACATATCAGGATATTAATCTTAGATTTTTATTACACTGAGATTGATTGAGTAAATAAATGGTAAATGGCCAGATTTTTACAACTTTATGGGCAAAAAAAAAACACTAACTTAGCAAAAAGTTTATAATTTTATATTTTTTTTAGAAGGCAAAAGTGAAATGTTTGGTTTAATTAACATTTGAAAAAAAATATAGATTTATAGCACCACTGAATTTGTCAGCACCTATGAGATATAAGTAGATCTCAGCCTAACACAAACATACATGACCCTTGCTCTATTTAGTTATCTAGATCTAATTGAAAATCTACACAAGTCATTACATAAACCTTAATAAAAGATCTTTAGATCTTTTGAAAAATCATTTTCTTTAATGATAAAGGAACATTATACAGTTGTCTAAAAAACTTCAAAGAAAAGATATTCCTATTCATTTCATTAAGAAGCCAGATGTATGATGATTGTAATTAGACTAAAGGCTCCTATGACACCTAATTGTATTTGACTTTCTTATATATTCAATAAATTATCATTATGTTTACAGTATGCCTAGATAGATTATAGTCACTATATATTGGTCAACACTATAATGATAATCAATATTAAAGTCTGGTAAGTTCACTAGCCTACCACTACTTAATAGCTTAAGTACTCCAAGTGGAGTATATTTAGTAAGATGTAATAAGTCAATTCTAACTTAGTAATACATTACTAGTCACTTAAAGTAAGTTAGTAGAACCCTTTGACAGTCTTGATATGTAATTTTGAATGTAGTCTTCTAGATGTAGATCTAGTTGAATTCATGGTAACAGGCTAAATCTTTTACTTAGGGTTTTATTTATAAAATGATAGATGTATTTAGAAGGCATATTTTAATTATTTAGTATAGTAGGCCTAGGCCCGCCTTAGTGCCTATTTAATTTACTGCTACTAACTTATTTATTTTATTTTCTTTTTAGGCCCTATTGATTGGGCATATCTTAATTAATCTTTTTTAAAAAAGAAAATTTAGGGCCTATAGGCCCCAGCCTAACTAATGTAGTAAATTCATCATCATCATTTATGTTTTTATCTAATAATTAATAGTATTTTAGCCATATTCCTATTAGTACTAGTACAAGACTAAGATTATTAGTAATTTAGGGCCTACTAATAATTAGTAATTAGGCTAATTATGCCTAATGAATAATCCTAAACTAAACCTAGACTAAACCTAAAGTAATTGGCATACTACAGGCTACAGGGCACGATTACATTACTAACTCAATAAAGAGGTCTATAACTATAACAATAATCAATAAGCTTATTTATAACTATGCTTATGGCTTTTAATGCATATCTACAGAACAGAGGCCCACCAATAAATTGCCCTAAATCCATATCTTCTGCAATCTGCTAAGTTACAAAGTTCACCGTGACCCTTTATTTACATATTCACATTCAAAATGTTGACATTGCATGCTAAAAATAGACACAAATCTGGATCTATAAAGCACAGGGCATAGGCTAGGCTATCACTCAATTTTAACTTTATTATTTTTAATATTATGTCATACCTTGATCGAAGACTATCAGTAGTATAGCTAAAAATATCAGATTCGATGATCCGAACTGTGAATTATATCCACACATTTTCTGTTGTTTCCTCACCAAAATACAATGCACGAATTACGAGCAGATCTAGAATCTAGATCAAAATCTAGATCTATCTTGATTCTAAACATAACTAAACAAAGCAATCACAGACCATGGAACGAATTAACAGGCATGAAAATTGAGAACAAGAGTGGTCTGAAATGGCAGGAAAAATATGCCGAAGATGAAATGATTGCTCGTTCTCTAGACCCAAGCCTAAACAAAATCATTATTATTCCAATTTCAGCACGCCTTGAAGTTGATTAGAATCCATCTTTGTTTAAATTATATCCATTTTCATCCAGCTATGAAGCCGATGAACGTTTCTTACAGTTACACACAGCATACGTTGTTAGTGTCCTCATGAAGTCTTCTCAGACTGGCTGATGGCCTCGTCCGTCTGTTTCAGACAGTCTGACCCAGACAGTTCAGAAAATAGACTCGCCCATTGACACCTTCGCTGAGTGTGTTTTATGCGCTGCGTGTTTGCGCAGTGCACGCTTCGCTAGCCGCTAGACGCTGGCTAGTGGTTAATCAGCTGACTGGACATGTTTATTTAAATAAAATATTAACTAAGAAAAATTAACGAAGTAGAAATTAAACATATCTAGATCTAGGTCTTTCCAGAAAAATACAATAATTGAATTAAAAGAATTTTTAAAAAAATACACACACGTACAGAAGGACCAAATAAATCAAATAATATAGGGCATTATAGGGTAGGGCCTGCCTAAATCTATATATATAATTCTCTTCTTCGAGCCGTTAGAAAACAAGCTGCAAACGCTCTCCCTACCTCCCCACCCCTACATGGTTTTAGTGAGCTGTGTTCACTCTAAATGTTTACAAGCAGAGCCAACGATTTTAAACGTAGGGGGGGGGGGAGGAGGGGGGGGAGGGAAGGAAGGGGGGGGGGGGGTTATGGTCCTTAACGAGCTACTTATAGTGTTTTAAAGAAATATTTTCAGTGTCAGCGTTGGTACTGTCGAATTCACAAATTATGAATTATTGAAAATTAGAAACAACTAAATAGCGGCGTATGTTATGCCGCGGGCCGGCTCGTAGTAAATATTAATGAAATTTGAGCTGCCTGTGCCTTAAATCTGTTAATGACGTCACGATGTTTACCTCTCTCCTCCCCTCCGTCACACATCGTCACGGAAAGCCAGTCGTCGTCGTCGTCGTCCCCGCCCCCCCCCCCCCAAATTGACGTCACACCTCAGCCTACAACCCACATCAAAACTGCAGTTGAATTTTTCTCAAAATACGATATTTTTTAAAAATCTTGACTGAATTCTGTCAGTATAGAGTATTTTAATTAACTCCTATTACAATTTATTAAAACAGTTTTTTTTAAACGCGAAATAACGGCTAAAAATATCGTTTCCTAACATTGCTTTTTTATAATGCAAAAGTATGACGTTACACCATCTGACCACCCCCCTCACACACCGTCACAAAATTACGGACCCCCCTCCCCCTCTATTTTTTTATGCTATTTGTTTACTACTCCATTAGCCTTTTATTAAAATGCTGAATTATGTTGCATGTTTTGTTTTTTAAACGGCCAATGCGAAAAAGGCCTCCGTGCATACTGATGTTACCGTTATTGAATAAATAAATTTAATGTAAATAAATAAATTGAATCTCTACGTCATAACTACATATCAGTCTTTAACCCCCCCCCCCCCAAATCAAGTCCGCCCCCCCTCTTCTCCCCCCCCCCCCCCCCCCCCCGAGCGAAATGGAATTTATATAGAAAATATATACTTTAACAGTGTTTTATAGTTTTAATACCTTTATTTGAATTTAAGAAGCGACCAACGCTTTTTAGTTCTTTAAATAGTAGTTCGTAATTATATATTTAAAGAAAATCATTTATTTTCTCATCTTTAGTGCATTATTACAGTATTTTATATTGGAAATTTAAATTAATTCTTTAAAAACTAGTTAAACATCCAATTAAGTTAAATTTGATGTCAGATTACATTGTCATTGGTTCTAGTCTTGACCCACGTGCCAATTTGCAGAGAAGTTGGTCGGTTAGAAGTGGTAGAAATTTCGCTCATTAGTTTCGATCCATGACAGGCGACTAACAACAGAACGAGGAAGCAAATTAAATAGAACTTTGTAAAAAATACATTGCTAACCGATAGCAAAAATAGTCATTAGACTGCATTTAAAAAAAGAAGTCAATTTCAGAAACATTGTAAAAGGAAAATATTGTACATTTATTAACTTATCTATATAAATCTTATTTTTAAAATTAAAGTTGGACACTTCAGGATAATGCAAGTATTTATTAGCCTATCTTGATGAGCTGCGAAGAAAGTTTTCAGAGATCGGCGAAATGGAAAGAGCTTTCTGTGACTTTCCTGGGCATTGAATGGAAAAGATGACGATCAGAGCTGGTTGAGTTCAGGGATTTGAGTCCGCTAAACTAACTTGACAACTCTGAATTCTGAATTCCGAACTCTGAATTCAATTGTTATGGAAATAAACATGTGTTCCTTTATTGAAAACAGAAAAATAATAATAGACTGCAGCGGACGTTTCTGTCAATTATACACGCATAACTAAAAACAAGAATATCTCAAATTCTATACGTAGAAATACAAAATGACTCATAGTTGGCCTAATGACTGTGAAATACATTTTTTTTTAAATTAGAAAATTTGTTTGGCATTTTTCGTTTTCGTATGGACTACTTTAACTGTATCTACATGTAGGTCGAATCTTAATGAATTATGTTAAATAACGTTAAATTTTCAGGTGTGAAAAATTCCCACGAAAATTCCATTCACAGCCCGCCTCCATTGATAAAAAAACAACAGCATTTCAAAGGCGTGAGTGAGGGATTAATTTAAGAAAGCGCCGGGAACCACTCCTTTAAAACTGAACGGGATACATTTGTTTACCATGACGCCACTTTATCCCACCAGATAAACTCCTTTCTTTGATTGTTTTATCAAGCAAAAAAAAAAAAAAAAAACAAGATTCAAGTTTAGATGCAGCAGATAAACAAAGGTCAAGTTTGGTGAGCTCACTTGAGCAAAGCTGAATGTAAGGTGATGACGTCAGTGAACAGTGTCAAACAAGGCCACATGACTAGACAATTATCTTCTTTACCTACTCGAGGGTAAAGACCACTAAACTTCTCAGTGAAAAACTTATTTTTAATTTTTGAAATCTACAACTTTGAAATAAACTAAAAAATGATCGCAGATTAACTGGGAGATTTTACTAATTTAATTTTCTTGAGAAAAATCCTTAATGAAACTTTAAAAGTTAATATTTTGTTGCGACTTTTAATATTCAATTTACTTAGAGAAAAATTAACTAAACTGAGTGTGTTTGGAAATAAATACAGGCTTATAATACTTATATTTATATTATTATGTAGCCAATATGGTGACCAGGAAAACAGCGCTGTGTAAAATGTGCATGGGATTTTTTTTTTAAATGGCTAACTCAAACATGTTAACAAACAATCACCTCGTAGATAATGTAGCACGATAATCTTTCCACGAAATATGACCGAATAAACCTGTTTTGATATAATGAGCTTGCATTTGTTTATTTCTATGTTTCTTCTGTTTTACTAATTTAGTGCAATTTTCGCTTTCGTATTTTTTTTCTCTGGGAACTGGGAACCAAAAACGCGATATTGGCCTGGATAACTATAATTAATGTCTACTTTTAAAATACTGTTTAGATCTATATATTTTATCATATGATAAAAATCACACAACCTAATTTTTTCCTAAAAAGTACAATATTAAAGCAGAAGTAACAACAAAGCAGTTAAGTAAACAATTTATTTTATTGAGAGGCTAAAACTTCTCAAAAGGGAAATCTAGAAAATACATCTAGAAAAACTAAACAACATCATTAGACACATTAAAACAGTCCAGCACAAAGTAATACATCCTTATGTGTATGGTCGGTGTCGGAAAAGCAACATGTTTTAGTTGGGATGCAGATAAATTACAGCTATGATGTATCCAACATAATAAAGACCATTAAATCATAACGAATTCAAGTGATAAGGGGTCGTCCATAAATGATGCCACAAGCCCCCCCCCCCCCCCCCCCCCAGTTTGAATGTATTAGTGAGATTTTTTCAAAATTTTAGCCAAATATTTGGTATATTTATCAATTTTTTTTACAATGGTAATTGTATTACAATAAACACATATTTTAAAACGGGAAACATCGGCTAAAAACAGTTTCAAACACTTTTTTCTAAATGCAAAAGTACGACATATTTACCCCCTCTCACAACTTAGTGACGTCATTTATGAACCAGCCCTTACCATGTTATTCAAGTAGTTTCAAGTTCAAGGCAAGTAAGATGTTAAAAAGGAGAAATCCTAGGTAGGTATTGCCTCCCTTGTCTAGTGATTATGAGTTGTTTTTTTAAAGTTTAAAACCAACCGTCAAGTGGATCAAGTCGTTTTTTTTAGATAAAAGTGCCACAAAATATAGTGTATTGTGTGTATAATTATAATACAGATGATATTTAACTTTACACACAATACTTAGATCTAATAATATAATGTAATGATACTCTTTGGAGCAGCCACAGAATAACTGCAGATAAGCTAATGTAAAAAGTAACTTAAATACACCAACTGCAGCAATTGAGGGTTGGAATAAGGGTTACAGCATACTTTATTTGTTAGAGTACAGTGGTTCTGATCCACTGAAATCATGGTAGGATGAGAAAATGAAGGTTCTACTGGTTATATTCATCATGTAATATATCCAATAACAGTCAAGCTAAATTAATACATCTGCATTTTTTTAATTGAAAAAAAAAATCTCACCCTGATCTCAGCAAAGTGTTAGCTTATTTATGAGAAAAGATAAAAAGTCTTCAGCTCATGCCTTAGGTAAAAGTAAATTTCCCTTTTTGAACTTGAGTGTTCATGGGGCAAGTGAAATGGAGATCACCTGTTTCTGTGACCTCGGCATATAAAAGGAAAAGTGTAGTCAGCACTATGCCAAGCCGCCTTTACTTTCCCTAATTTGAGTTAGTTCCAATCAGAGCTCTGTAGACTCAGTGACGTTCCACTAACTTGACCTCGGATTCGAACTCGAGACTTTCAGGTTAGCAGCCACACTATCACCGTGACTTGGGTGATGCAAGACATATCATACACACATTTGATTTTACCTCATTTAATATTTTCCATTCTACAAAATTTGCAAACTGAATTTTAGGGCGCTGGAAGCTTATGAAGATGAACATACAATCTATCATTATGTTGAAACTTATAAAGCACAGCCTTAAACTAGACCTAAGTGACATAATTATTCGACAGAAAAAAGACTAACAGTTAATTGCTTTAAAAAACAAAAAATCCTTGTTTAAATAAAATGCTGTCTTTAGGTCTGTTATATATTATTAAAGCTGGTTAAATTTTTTTTTAATTTACGCAAAAACTATTTTTTTTACACATATACATAAAGCACACAGTATTATTAACGTATTGCATACATTTTAAAAAATCAGCTTGTATGATAATGATGTTGAGCAACGTTGAGCTTTCAAATAAATGGATAGTGTACCAAGCAAACAACCTGACCCTACATTATTGCCTCTGGGTTGCAAACAAAAGCTGCTCAGAACAAATTAGTGATTGTCAGAAGCTCTTGCACAATAAACATTGCTGTCATCAAAAATCAAATTGTTTCTTCAAGAAAAATCACAACAAAATAAAAGTTACAATTATTCTTTTCAATGGCAGTGTATTAAAATCTACACATGCCAACCACAATAGATGAATGCATTTAAAAAATATATAAATCTAATTTAATCCAAAGATGAGAAGACATTATCCAAAGTAGTTAATAAAGGGAAACAGTTTCAAAACCAAAAGTTATAACAACTAAAACTTCACTTATTCCCCATAGTAATTTTTTTGTATTAAAAACATTTTTCTTTCATTTTGTAGGCTATTTTAAATTTTATAGATATTAGGAATTTTTAAATAGTAATTTAACACTAAAATCCAACTCATAACTCTCAAACCATAAAGACATCTCATAATATTATAGTAAGTTAATCTATACTATCATATCAGTGGATTACACTATAACAAATATATTTTAAATCTATGATTAAATCTTATTTGCTTAGATATTGTATAATTTAAACTAATTATAATTTATATTTACAGAATTTCCTGATACTTTATTTCACATTTTATGATAAAATAATAAATGATAAATAATTTTTTTTTAAAAACCTTTTTCTTCTTTAAGGGTACTTAAAAATCTATAAAATAATGTAATGTAATGACACACAGAAAATTAAATTATTTCAAGAAATCAAAACAATATAATAATGTTTTTATGTTAATTAATACATTTGGGTTTTTAAAAAAAGTAAAAACAGTTATATTGAGAGAGCAACAAAAAAATTTGAACACTATTACAAGTGTTTAAGAGCAATGGAATTCACATCATTAGAATATACAATGTGTACACTTTGGCATCCAAATTTGACTAGAAGATATACTGCCTGATTGATTATAACCAGTGCCATAGTAGGGTGAGGCAGAGGTACATAGATCTCTCATTTATATAAATGGTTGGCAAAACTAAAGTCTAATTTCAAGTCATGAAATTATATTAGTAACTATAGGGCTGGTAAGTAGTTAACCAACCAGTTCTACGGCTCAATAAAACCTGCATGAGCCTTAGAACTGGTTGGTGACCTACTTACCAGCCCTATACATAAAATTTAAAAGGGGAGACAACATCAACACAAGCTTTTATTTTGGCTGGCAGTAAAGTAACTCAAATGAAAATGATTTATTAAACAAAATATAACTTATAATTTGGCAACTTAAATTCACCCTCGTACAATTCATTTAGATGTCTATAAGTAAATGATATAAAGTACAATTATTTTTAATATGTTTTGTACATCTTGGTTATTATGTTTTATTTCTTGCTTGTTTCTATAAACTTATGTTTATGTTGTCACAGAAATAGCTTGGTCATAATAAAAATTTGGGTTAAAACATAAATTAATTCATGACTTTGTAAGTTTGAATGAGGTTATTACAATAATCAGTTATTCAAAAACCATATTAATGCATTAGATGTCTCACTTTAAATAGCTAGATTCAAATTAACACATTTACCATTAAATATAACTAGAATTAACAGAGCTGGTTTATAGACACAGAAAAGATAACTATCTTAAGAATTCATAGATGTAACACATCAAAACCTTAGGTTGGGAAACAGTGGGATACAATTTTTGTTACTGAACAGTTAAGTTACACACCAATATGTTGAAAGCTGGTTTGATTCATAAAGACATGTCAGGATGATAACTCACAACCATACTTGATAACTGAATTTGTAGAGGTCCACAACAAGCTATGACAATTTTCAGGCACTTGATCAGAACATCTTTCCGCTTTGTTCTTTGTTTGTCAAGTTGATCATTTATAAATACAGATTATATTCAATGTCTTTATATTTTTTTTAAAGAAGATTTAACAGAAATGATAATTATGTAGTTTTATTAACTTTTTTATATGCTGAAGCAATATTTTTCTTATACAGTTTCCAAAAATTATGATATAGTCTTAAATACTTACTAAATTCAAATCCAAATAGTTTAATAATGCATGCTTTAGCTTTTTTTTTTTTGGGGGGGGGGGGGGGGCAATTACTATTAAAATATCATGCTTAGTTATTTCTTTTTATAGTTTACATTAAATATATATGAATGAAATTCCCTGCATTGTTTGGTTGGAAAATTCTAGTCACAACTGCTACAAAATATATGTATTTAAAAAAAACCTACTTCTTACTGGCACATAATGAAAAACTTGACAAAAAATATTTATACTTAAAGCAACACAGTACATGAATGTATTTTAAAAAAAATAAGTTTAAAAAGGGGAAACAACTGTTTCCAGAAATTTCTGCACAATTTTTGTGAGATTTTCTACTGAATGGCAATCATGCAAATTGCATTAACCTGCTATTTTGTTTGAGCAAACAAATTCTGGGTTCATATTTTAGTATGACAAAACACATGCCGAATATCGAGTCCTGCAGTTACCCAGGGTAAGTTACAAATTTACTGTCTCTATCGATCAGACATTGTCAGTCTGAAAGTCTACCAATATCCACATCTGTCTAAAAAAACTCCTTAACCTGAAATCCTACAACACCTCAGTAGCTTAGTTTAACCAAAACTTTAAATATTTTATTAAATAAATATAAATAAAGTTAAAAATCACCTTATATATAGTTATAATAATAAAAATGTTAAATGTAAACTTTAAAAACTGTCACTAGAAAGTCAAACAATTTGGAATGAATAACTTTTTATGTAACCACTTCCTCTAAACAGTCCCTGAGTTAAACTTAGCAGCTAACTGTAATAGACACCTTTATCCCTTGGTGACAAAAATAAAATTATTGAGCGCAAGCTGTCATGGGGGCAAAAAAAAATTTATGAACAACAAAATTGCTCTTTGTAAACAAATTAGTGGTTTATGTTTATATTTTATAATGAGGTTGTCATGGCTACAAGAAAAAAAATCAGTATAAAAATGGGTTGTTAAAAAAAATCAGCAAGGTGAATAATAAAAACTAACCCAGGCAGTTGATCTTGCATACAGACACATCTCTAAGTGTCAAGACTCATCTTTGGAATGAATTCAACATGTGAATTATTGATGGAAATAACATACAAAGTAGTGAACAGTGCGCAAATACTTCACTAAACTATATTATAATTGTGTGTTGACATTCAATGGTTTTTATCATTCATTTTAAACTCCTTTCATTCAAGCTTTTATTTAAGTCAATTATTTCTATGCCATCTGTAATACTAGGAACTATTTGGATTCTTTGGTTCAAGGTTTTCACAATCAAATAAAATGAGGTTTGAACATGGGAATTATATGATGGTTTTATTATGATGGATACAATAATTTTTTCTTGATTAACCATGTTAGAAACCAATTAATTTAAGAAGATAACAATAAATGATCAGTTTTATAACTTAAATAAATAAATGGAATTTTAAACTATCTGATCCATTATTATTTGTTCTATTATTTTACAAAAGTATGTTTTAGTTGTCCCCTGGACAAAATAAATTTGTCAATTTGTTAATATCTGCTTATGTTATTCTATACATGACCAGACTTGCTATGTTGTTGAAGCATGACTTTTGTCCAATAATAAATGTTCTAAGACTTCTTCTTTTATTAGGTGTATCTAATTTTACACCAACACATCAAGCTCTGAGTTTAAACTCTATGTGATATGTAAAATCTACAATTAGTATGAACTGTATAGCAAGTCATATAGCTTCATTTTTAAAAAAAAACTATTTTAAAATATTGAATCGACTACTAGCAAAAAGGTCAAAGCATCTAGAAAATAACTTACCAATAAGAGTCATAAAGTAACCTGATTTTTAAAAAAGATATTTTAAAATACAACTTTATGTAGCTTTTTAAAAAATGATGAAAATGAAATGTGATAATGGAAACTAATCCAACAATCTGCTTGACATTTTTAGTCAACAAACCAAATTCTAACTTAACACTGTCCATTTTCTAGGTGTTACTAATGACATTGGCAAAAGTATGTTTGCAACTGAAGTACCAACTTTCTCCTTAAGTTCAGCACATCTTTGGCAGTTAAAAGAAAAAATCAGATCCTTTAAGAGTTAGACCTGGATTTCATATTTTGCCGTATAAGTTAATGAAGCTGGCACAAAGTAGTCAACATAGAGTTGTTGTTGAGTCCCAAACACCTAACATCTGTTGTAAAAAAGAAATAACATTTGATTAAAAAAAACAAATAGTACTAACCACTTCCATGAATGAAAAGTGCAATTAATTTTTTTTTAATCTTTTTTTTTATATCTAATTTTGAGAGTAGAATAAATGAGTGAACAGGAATGAACAGAAAAACAAATGAATGTCTGAAACATTTTAATGCCAAATAAAATAGACTAAAACTAAAAACTAATACCATTTTGTAAACTCTAAGTACAGTATAAAAAAATGTATCATAAAAACAATAGGGTTAAATAAATAAAAAGTAGGTTTCAATTTTAAAAAAAACAATGGTAGTATAAAACTGAAGTAAAAACAAAGAGAAAGGTGATGTATAGTTAGCAGGCATAGCATGGAGATATAAAAAAATGATCTAGCTTCAAAGTAAATTCTTCCAGTGTGTTTTTAAAAGCTTTTTTTAGTAGTGTTTATTTCTAAAATTTAAAATAAAAAACATAAATTTAAAATTTTGGTCTGTAATTTACAGGTAATTTTATTTTTCTAAACAAATTATGTTTTAGAACTTAAGGTTAAAATTTCTTTGTTTTTAGAAGCGTTATTTTAAATTTGGAGAAGAAAGCAAAGTATTAAAAAAAACCTGCATATTGAAAACAGAAATATGCTATGGTGTAGTAGTACATTTTTTAAACAGCCCACTCAAATACATATCACAGAAAGATTTGCTCAGGTGATTTATTATTTAAAAAACAAAAGTAAAATTATTATTTAGCTTTGAATAAAGCAGTTTCTTTTTTTTTTATCTTATAATTTAATAGAACAGAGGGTAAAAAAATTAATTTCTCTTCATTTACTTGAACTTATATCAAAATGTAGTTTTATATATTTTACATTAATTTATTAACTATTTCTTTGACTGTTTAGTCTTGAAGAAATAAGTAGTGAGACAGAAAATATGGAGTTAAGGAGAGAAAATGCAAAACCCTTTAAATTATGGGTAAATGATAGTTTTTTTTTAGATAAAATAATATCACACAAGTATCTTTTTATTAAGATCAATCTTTATATACACAAAAATATATTGTTATTGTAGGCCAACTGAAGCCAGGAAATGTAATTCCTTGAGCATTTACATAGAAATACTTAACAAAAACTAGAAGTAAAATATTGCATTACTTAACACATTGTATAAAAAAAATTGAGTGAGAGAGATCCAGTGAACTTTTAAAACATTTGGAATGTTAGAAAGGCAAGGGGCAATTTTTTTAAGGTTAACAGAATTTAAAATGAACTCAATTAAAGCAGATTATTGTAAAATAATGTAACAGTAAAGGAAACAAAAAAAATAACCCAGAAAAATTAACATAAATTATATTCAAAGGAAGATAATAAATATTTTTAAAAATTATTAATAAATAGATTCAAATGCATTTAGATTATGCACAAGAGTAATAAAAAGATATACACTTATAACTACTAATAGGTGTAGCTTTCATGCTTGTTAAATTTTAAAGGTTGTATATTGTTGAATATATTTTTACTTTTTTTTTGAGCAACAACTAATAAACATGCAATTAAAGAGTTGTAAAAGATTTCTAAAAAAAAATTTAAAAGTAAAGTATTATAAAAATGTAGATTTTGTAACGAGAAATTCACACAACACATAACAGAATAATAAATTTAAAAGTGATCAAGCAGGGAAACTCAACAAATACCTGACAACAGGAAGGACCAATTACTAATGGCTATAATTTGGCATCAAACAACACGCCTTAAATACCCTGGATGTTTAAACAAGGAAATCAGACACAGGTATACTAAAGCTATCACTATTTCTAAGCAATATGTGGTGTGAAACAAATTGTACAACAATAAATGGGTACCCAGTATGGAATAAATAAAATTGTGTAAGGTAAATGGTAATAAAATACAAAAAATCTGGATATTTTTTTCAAAAGTAAATGAAAACAAACTTAATTTTATTTATAGGGAGCAATGGTTTGAATATTAAATTTGAAACAATTTTTACAAAATGTCCAATTCATGTTTTGACAAATATTGTAATAAACTGTGCAATGGTATGTTTTTAAATAATAAAAGATTTTTTTAAGTACTTCTGTGCAAGTGAAAGCAATAATAAGCAGGGTAAACTTCCTGAATAAATCCAGCTATAAAACATGCATGTTAGATATATTTAGTCCTTTCCTCCCTCATTGTAATCATAGTTTCATACCCTTAATAAAAAAAAGTAGCTGCCTATTATTTGAAACTGTGAAATTAATGTTTTTTTATATAATTTGGCACAGGTATTTGGGAGGAAAGTAACCAAAGCTAAAGCAAACAAAAATCCTCACTACACAAACATGCTATACGTTTGACTCTATTGATATACAAGACCTTGGCCGAGGTCGTGTCCTTGGTGGTTGTGGAGAGACAGACCCGTCAATTTCAGAACACTCTGCAATAGATGGCGAGGTTGGTGTGTGCAACTCTGCTGTTCTGGCGCGCTGGCGTTTATGAAACTTCCTAGGTGAGAACTGAAGTTCAAGGCCTTTCCGATGCTCATCATGATGGGCTTTAGTAGGTGAAGTGGGGGTGGAGCTGATAATGGATGGGGAAAGAGGCCTTTGGTGAACAGTGGATGAGACTGGTGGAGGGGAGAAGGATCTGATTGGTGGGTTGGGTACAGAGGAAGATAATATAGGAGGGTTGGGGGATGTAGGTGAGGATGGTAAACTACGAAGTTTAGCGAAAAACTTTCTTGGTCCAGATCGTTTGGTGTGGTTGGTGGAGGGAGAAAGTGGAACAGAGCCACAGAGGGGTAGGTTCGTGGGGGTGGGGGGAGAGTCAGGGATTTGCCTGGGAGTTGAAGTTGCCCGTACTGCTGCCGGGGAGGTGACGCTGGTCACCGCCAACTTACTGTCATCTCCAGATTTAGCAAACGCCCCAACTTCCACAGAGACGATGGAAGCGTGGTCAAGTTTACCAGGGGCTTTAGACATCTTGTCTATAATCTCGGAATCTCTTGACTGCCTGTCTTTTTTTGTCATTTTACGTTTTGCATAAATGGCAGGGTTCTCTATAATCTTCCTCTTCTCGTCTGTCAAAGTCAGGACATGTTGCAGGAGAGCACCACAGAATGACTGAGCAGTGCAGGCTTCCTCTGTCACAAGCTCATACTCATGGACAACTCTTTCCATCTCTTTAAGAGCATACACATGACGCTCTTTTGGGCTGAGCTCAGGTTTGATTTTCAAGCTACCATTCGAGTTGTACTTTTCATTTATATTAAAGTTAGAATCATTTGGCCGCTGTGGAAGAGCAATTTTTGTCACAACCGGATCAAAGTTGTCTGAAATCCCATCAGTTGTCAGAAAGACTATATCCCCTTGATGGCAGAATGTCACGGAACACGTCAGATTGTGGAGTTCAGGGTTCTGACCGTCTACTGGACCTATAGCACCCCCAGCGTCACGAATGTCCCTCTCACTGCCCACATCATGGGAGCCGACAGTGACCTCCCTGATGCCTTGGTTGTTGGAGTATATGAAGGCGAAGCTGTCACCAACATTGACACAGCATACAGCGTGCTGGTCTGAGTTGTCCACTGGACAGACCATACACACACACAGCGTGGTCAAGCCTCCTTCCTTAGCCATGATGGCCCTGTGCGCCTCATCCAGAGCCTTCCTTAAAAGTTTTACTACATCCTGTTGAAACATTTCAAAAGGGAAAATATAGGAATTATAAGACAATGGTTGGCATTTCAAGTGAAAATAGTAAACCACAATACATTTTTTTTGTTCATAAGTATTCTTAATAATGTGTAATAATTGAATATTTTAAAGAATCTAGCCATAATTATTTTAAAATAAAGAATTAAACATAACATTTATGAAGCAATGCAGAAATATGATACTGCAATAGAAACTTGTAGGTTAATGAGTTTTCTTGATCATGGAATCTGGAAAAATCTCTAAAAAAATGTATATCACTGTTTTAACTTTCCCCACTAATAAATAAAACATTGATAGAGTACTGCTGTCAGAGGTGAACTCAAAATGTCTAGACAAGGAATCTACCATAATTTTCAAATTAGAACAATATAATTAAAAAACCATGTCAAGCAATAAAACATTTTTAAAAAAAATTCACCTGTGTGTTTTCTGGCTTGTTCTTTTTCTCAAATATTTTATAGTTGAGGTACTTCATACTGCCATATAGGGCACACCTGGCAGCCAGCCGAGACTTCTCCCCCCAGTTGACCCCATCAGCTACCATCAGGATCGTGTTGTTTCTCCTGGCACACAGGGCAAAGCTGTCAGCTATGGGCTCACCTGAAACAGTTACAGCATGAGGATTGTGTTGGTTACAGTAGCATTAACCATAACAGATCAACACAATTTATGAAAATACTGTACTTTTTAAGGAACATCATTTACAAGGAATGGGAAAAAAAACAACATTCTAGTGGAAAGAAATAAAAAATGCAAAGTATAGAGAGATTGAAGAAATTATATAATAATGTATGGAACAGCTTCATTATCATCATTTCCTGTTAATGCCCAAGACATGGGGCAGTAAGTAAAGTGAACCTGTTTCAATGACCCTGGCATATACAAGGATAGTGTGGTCAGCACTATGCCCAGTAATTTATGTTTCCTTAATGTACTTCAGGTGCCCATCAGAGCTTGATGGACTCAGGCAAGTCCAACAGACTCGAGCTCGGGATTTCAACTCAAGACTTTTGGGTTAACAGTTGCAAGCTTTACCATTTGACCACACTGTTCCCATGAAACATCTTAGTGATAGGGCACATTTTTGTTATCCTCAAGTCTACCAGCTCAAATGGATACCTGACTCAATTTAGTGGAAGTAAACGTGGCAGAGTAGAGATTAAACATCATCCCTACACATGCCGAGGTCACAGAATGCTGAGATAAAAGATGTGCATGAATGAGAATGTCTTCCCCTACCTGATATCTTCCCGTTGATGGGGTGTTGTTCATACAGAGATATACAGATACCATAGGCCTGCTGCTGTCTCAGGTTCCAGTCTCTCACCCCAGCCATTAGGTTAACATAGTAATCTGGGGAGAAGGCTCATATAAATCTACTGCCTACATTGGCTTTATTTATGTTTGTGTAGTGTCAATTGCATCATTAATGAGTAACTAAAATAGGGTGGCTGGTAGGGAACAAACATTTGTTTCCATATGAGATAATGGGAGCACAAATGCTTAAACAGCAATGACATCACTACACTGTAATATATCAAAGATATATTAATTTATTAAATGCTCATCATATATCATCTGAGACTATATGAAAGATATATTAATATATTAAATGCTCATCATATATGGAGAGTTGTGTATTAAAAACAGTACAGTGTTGTTTTATTTTAAATTGTTAATTGATTAGAGGGGAACAACGCAATTCATTAAATTACTGGCAAACACTCATGAGACACAATTAACTTAAAGGATTTATTAATTAAAGTAACATTTTAAAAACACTTACTATTCTCTAAGTGCCCTTCAGCGTAGGCTAAACCTGAGTCAGGCCCTGTATAACTGGCTACTATTTCATCATCGAGGGGAGATAACTGGACATAGGGTAGCACATCAGGATTGTCCCCATAAAAAATTTCAGGGCCAAATTTTATTTTCTTTACTTTCCTGCTGAAAAATACAAAGAGCAAGACACTTTTTAAACAAATAATCAAATAGCTACACAGGAAAGATTGATTGTATTAGGCTAAGCATGAACAATTTTGGGAAGAAATACACTGTTAAACCACTTTCCAACCTAAGTTGAATGACAAATAGAATTAAGGGTTATAGAAATCTAGCTATTCATGGCTGTAAAGTAGCCACTTCCTTGGTAGATGACCATGAGAGAGCAGACTTTTAGTGATCTGTCTTATAATCATAAATGTGATCTACAACCTGAGAGGATGGGACTCACAGAATCACAACTTTTATTATATAGTGGCGCCTGGTCTTAAGTGAACTTCTCCATCAGTAAGGTTGTAGAATAAAAAAACTGAATAATGTCTAGAGGTTAAAAGACTCCATTTCATGCTACTGTAACTTATATAAACAACTATGTAGGTTTTTTACAACTCCCACAAACAAGTATTAAGCAGTAACACGCACAACTAACCCTGTCTTTACCATATGCACAAATGACTGTGTATCATACCATACACACAAATGACTGTGTATCATACCATACACACAAATGTCCCTGCTTATACATTTGCACAAAAATGTATAGATAACTCAAAGGACCAACCATGCCATAGAATTGACAATATAAAACTTATAGCAGCAACACACAGCAATAAATCAACCAATAATCAAGTGCTCACTCAACAAAATGATGTGTACTTTTCCATGTTGAAAAACAAAGCATTAAGACTATACCATAAATAACATATCACAACTACCACCCACCAATGGTATCACAATTTATAAGAAAGAGTTTTGTCCTTTTTATGGGACAAACAGATTTATTGGGTACTATTCAGTAGCGTACGCAGGGGGGGAGCAGGGGGAGCTGCCGCTCCCCCTCTGGCCATTTTCAGCAAAGTGGCGCCTTTTTGGAAACTTAAACAATGATATTTGTTAAAAAAAATTTTTTGGTCGGCACATCTATGTAAATCACAAGATTTCTTTTCATGCAGCAATTTAGCATAATTGTACTAGTCTAGTACAGTGTTTCTTCCAGACTTTTTTCTCCGGGGGGGCACTTGAAATCTTCGGGGGGGCGGTAAACTTTCTTCGGGGGGGCGGACACTGTTAAAAGTATATATTTTCTATATAAATTATATAAATTTCATTTCGTTCGGGGGGGCGGTAAAAAGTTTTCGGGGGGGCTTCGCCCCCCCCGAAGAGATGCCTGGAAGAAACTCTGGTCTAGTAGTGTCTACGTTTACAACACGTATTAACAGCTGCATCAGTTTGTCATTCTAAAAATAACCATTACGATGCATTGCAATGTTTAAAAAACCTCTACGGTAGTACCACTTGGCAAGAGGGGTGTTAAGTTTAAGGCAACTTTATAAAATATTTGCTTACGAATAATTGAATTAGAAAGTATTATACATAAAACTTCACACATAATTACTTTATATATACAGTTTGAATCGTGTGATTAATTAAAAAAAATTACAATACAGAAATAAATACAACTGATGTGGCACCTCTATTTATATCTACTTATGAGCAAACTGCGTACTTTTATATCAACTCTGATTTTAAAAACTTTCATTATGCTGTAATACTTTAGCATTTATGATGACAATATATTAAATTCTGATTATAGACAAAAAATAAATATTAAACACGAATAGTGTTAAACAATTTCATTATATTCTAAAGTAATTATTTATTTGTTTCGACAATTATAATTAAATGTGTAGATATATACATATTTATATTAAGAGAGTGATTATTTCCCCTATTTCACTTGTCTTAAATAATTTCCCAGGAATTATAATGCAAGAATTTTTTTTTACAAGAACTACAAAACAGATTGTGTTACGTTCATTGTTTTTGGTTGTAGTGTATATATATATATATATATATATATATATATATATATATATATATATATATATATATATATATATATATATATATTTGTTTGTTTGTTTAGATTGATACAATTTTTGTTTTGTCGGCCTACATTGTGTGTTTTTTCTTATTTCTTCAGAGTGCTACTTTCAATTTATTTTACATCATAGCAAAGTAATGACATACAGCTAGTAACTATATATATATATATATATATATATATATATATATATATATATATATATATATATATATATATATATAATACACGTATATAGAAAGTGTTAAAAATTCGGCGCCTTTTTTTGCTCTTTTCGCTCCCCCTACAACGAAAATCTGGATACGCCTCTGGTACTATTGCTTGCTTGCTTGATGGGTACCTAACCTACTTTGGGGAAAGTAAAGGCAGCTGAGCATAGTGATGACTGGGTCTAGGACATTACCCCCCCCCTCCCGTAGCAATTACACCCCACCCCCAAGCAGTGTTTCTTCCAGACTTTTTTCTCCGGGGGGGGGGGGGGGGCACTTGAAATTTTCGGGGGGGGGGGGGGGGTGGGGCGCGGTAAAAAAATTTCGGGGGGCTAAGCCCCCCGAAGAGATGCCTGGAAGAAACTCAGCCCCCAAGTTCAAGAATCCTGACTCTAACTCCAACTCTATACCTATATATTACCTTAAGTTAATCCTAACCTTAAGAAAAGCCTAAACCTAAGCATTCACCTCAGTCTAAAACTTAACCCAAACCCTACCCCAACCCCAGACATTGGTTTAAGCCTAACCCTGACCCTAACCCAAAACCTAACCCTAACCCTTAGCTCAAACTTAATTAAAATGTAAATATTTTAAAATATTTTTTTAACCATTTGCAACCATGATACAAATTTCCTTAACTAAACCTTGACTGTCTGAACAATACACTAAAACTGCACGTTTAAACTTTTTGTATTTGTAAGTCAAGAAAAAAAAACTCTTTACATTCCACAGCTGTGCCAGCTGACGGGAGGATAAAAGGTCAAACAATCCAGACATGTAGACGGTAAATACAGGGGAGATCATTTAAGGACACTTACGGGGGAAGTTGCGGCACTTTAATTGTAGCAGAATAAGTAGCTATGGCCATGAAAATAGCCGTATTCAGGGTGTTTTTGTAACTAGATAGGACGGTTAAGTGCCTGTATGGTGTATCGAGAAGACTCATTCTAGCCAAAACGGGTTTTTCCGATGGGTAATTTTCCTTTATCACGTCAATTTAGTTAACCTAAATAGTGAAATCAGTAATACGAGAATGGAACACGTTTTACTGACTACGTATTGGCGATGGAATCGTCCATACATGCGGCCAGGGGCGTAGCGAGGGAGGGGGTGCGGACCGCACCGGGTGACACCATTTAGGGGAGTGACACCAAGGCAAAAAATAGCAAAATATATAGAGAAAAACTTGAGGGGGGTGAAAATCGAAAGTTTGAGGGGGGTGCAAATCGAAAACTTGAAAGTTTGTCCCCGGGAAGGGTCGCTACGCCTCTGGGGGGGGGGGGGGTGACACCATTAAGTGCCGCACCGCATGCGGCTACGGGGTGGATTGGTTTAAAACTTTAGCATTCTAAAAATTACATTTTTAAATGGAATTTGAAGTAATTTCGCATTTTCTGAATTTAGTAAATTGCAATAAAACTTGATCAATGTGTACCCTATCTTGATCCAGCTCAATTAACAGACTTTATTAATTGCATAGGTAGAGTGAGGAGGGATGAGAACGGCAAAGAATGACGTAATTTTTAGAGTGGGTCTGGTGGGTTAAAATCGTCAAATCTTAACACACACACTCCCGCCCGGCACTTTTCTGTCTAGGGCCTAGGGTATAACAAAGTTAATATAAATAGCGTAAGTTGTAATGTGTTAGGTTATAAGTCGCCATGAAAACTTACAAACATCAACCGTTGATTTTTAACTTCACTTTCTAGACCTTTTGGTGTATGTTATTAACAAAGGGGCCTTACATTTGCTAGTCAGTCTTGCTTCCATTATCATCCCCACAACCAAAAAGATCCGCTCTGGTGATTTTTAACTTCACCTTCTAGACCTATATGTGAATGTCATTAACAAGTGGGCCTTACATCTGCTATTTTGCTTCCATTATCATCCACACAACAAAAAAGACACACTCTTGACTCCCTGACACACCTGTTTAACCACGGTGTGTTGTATGATAGTTGTGTTAAAGTGTTAGTACAAAAGAGCGGGCTCGAACAATTGGTGTTAGGCGGTCACGACAGCTCGTGCAACTATTATTTCCAATTGTTGATGAGCACACAATGCATTGTGAAATACAACATCTGTTACAATCAAGCACCTGTGACACGAATGTGGTTTGTTGTTCTAAACGTGTTGTGCTCTACGTCGGGTGGGATCAGGGGTTTTAAGGTAGGTACTCAAAGTCATAGAGCTGGGTAGATAATGCGAGAACCACTGTGCGATGTGTAACTAATGGCAACATTAAGTCAATGAGTAACGAATGAGGGTCGAAGAATATGAAAGTTGCCTGGTTCTGAATTTTGTGACGTGTAACGTGGGAGGGGGGCGGTGGGGGGGGGGGGGGGGCGTTGAGACATTTTTTTCTGTATACAAATTAAGGAGGATTTTTGTAAGAAATACTCATCTTTGGCGGGGGTTTAGGTCATTGCCTCCTCGTCAACTCCCCCCCCCCCACCGAGTCATTACCCACTGTAAATCCCCCCCCCCCCCCCCCGGATGCTGAAGAACCCGGACTTTAACCCTAACCCCAACCTACAGCTAAACCTAACTCAAACGTAAATCCTAACCTCAACTCTAAACATACATCTAACCCTTGCCTTAACGCTAACCATATCTTAGCAATAACTGGGCGGGGTGTAATTGACAACGCGGAGGAGGGGGGGGGGAGAAAAGGGCTAATTGATAAGGGGGGTGTCGGGGGGGGGGTAATTGATGGGGTAGGGAGGGGTAATGTTCTGCTCTCCTTTGGCGATGGGTAAGGTATTTATATCTGCAAACTAAGTACTAACTTATATAGATCTAGATAACGAATAAATAATAATTATATGCTAATGGTCCATCCCTTTTGCCGA